ACTTTGCACTGACCTTAACTGACAATCAAACTCAACATCAAAAGAGAGAGCCGAATTTATGTTAATTAGTTTTCCAGCAAGTTGTCAATAAACCACATAGGCATACCTATGGTATAGTATAGCATAGCTGACCTTGCATAGGCAATAAATTACAAAACCAATGATTATAATCCAGTTAAAGAGCAATTACCAGAGAAAGGCCTAATGTCTCAAAAGATGGTTAGATATCAGGAAAATTTTTAAAGGGTAAAAACACCTCATGATTTAAAATCTGTAAAACATTATTTTCATCACGATTGAGAGAAAAAAATGTGGGTCTTCGTTTTTCTGATTTTCAGTCAGTATTTCCTGATATTCCTCATTTTATTATGATAAAATAATGAAATAGGTACTTGGCAACTGTTCAATGATGATTTTGAAATGCTTTTAATAAGATAATTGAGAAATAATTAAAGGTCTTCGTTTTTCGGGCCTTCGGTCTTCGTTTTATGACACCCATATAAGACCCTTGAAAATTTCACAAACTCAGACGCCCCAAAAAAATTCGTACTTTTGATTTTGTGACAGCTTGGTGTATTATCATCAAAATAAAAGAGAAAAAATAGGGGTTTCCATTTTTGGATCTTCGGTCTTCGTTTTATGGACACCGATTGGCTAGGCCTATAAAAAAAATCAGACCATTAGACCCCTGCACACTCTGACTCGCACTTTCGGTCTCTCACTCATCTGATCGGCGACTGCTGTGAAATACGGAATACGATTGGCTGAAAGTGTAACCCTTGCGCCAGCTACTCAAAGCAGCGTTTTTCTAATCTTGATAACGGAGCTTTTATTTAACAAGTTAGCGCCGTAATCAATTATGACCCTGATGGCGTCATTCTAAGCCTGTGATTGGTTGTAAAATGAACATGACGTATGGTTACGGCGCTTTAATGTAACACGTCAACGGCGCTTTCATTATGACTCCATCGGCGGCATTCTAAGCCTGTAATTGGTTAAAAACTAATGGCATGACGGCGCTTTAATTACGATTACGGCGCCTTAATTTTGATTACAGCATTTTTATTATAATTACAGCACTTTTATTATGATTACAGCGTTTTTATTATGACCACAGCGCTTTTTTTGTAACAAGTTAACGGCGCTTTCATTATGACCCTGTTGGCGTCATCCTAAGCCTGTGATTAGTTGAAAATGAAAGGCATTACGGCACTTTTTATGAAGATAACAGCGCTTTCATTATTATTACGGTGCTTTGATTATGGCCCTGATGGCTAACCATACGCGGGTCTTTGCTCGCTGTAGCTTTTTCATGTCATGGTGAGCGAAGGTTGGTAGTTGGATTCACTGTGTGTGGGGTGGGTGGTAATACCTTTGTGGTTTATGCTGTAATAAATTATAAGCAAGCTTACGTAAAATAAAGTAAACAGGACAAATAAATGGGGCCTAGCATAGGCTATATATACTACATTTAGCTTGGGCCTGCTCTCTCTCCCTCCCTAGCCTACACTATGTCAACAGAGTATTTAGTACAGCATTCTTTGAAGGCCGAAACAATCTAAACTTATTATTCTTCTTATATGATGTACAGTATTAATTTTTGAAAAATGTATTATATTAGTCTAATGATTACATTTATTTTTGGAAAAAAGTTAAGACTAAATCTCTAGAGAATCCTTATGGTAAGCTGGATGATCTGTGACTTTTGGGTGAATTTTCTCTGAAATTTAGGGGTCTGTCATTATTCATGTACAAAAAATAAAGGATCGTCCGGCTTGGAACACTACACGGCCGGGGCGGCTACACATGCACAGGTACAGATTTAATACTGTATAATTCAAACTGAAAAAAAGAAACGACTAAAGTAACTTTATACAGAACAAAAACATATGGAGAGTTTCTGTAACTCTTTCTTGGTGCTCTCATCGTCATGAGTCTGGTCTACCTGGCACCCAATCTTCACATATTGTCATATATACTGAGTAATTGTCACTATTTGATGTTACGAATTATATCCGCCAAAATGGCGCCAATACCATAAAACAGCTACAAATTGTATTGTAATTGCGGATTTTATCATCAATATCAGGCTTTATGGGTCAATAATTCATTTAAGACAATTTTGAATGTGATGATCAAAATGAATAAATTTAAAATGGCCGCCATGTATAAACAGCCATAAATCAGTTATTATAACTACATAAGCATTGTTGTTATTTGTTAATGATGTACTTGTAACACGTTATATTGTCATTGCGGACTTATAAAATCCGCATACGCTATAAAACTAAAAGAAAATGCATACTTTTGGAGTCCGTACTGAGCCCAAAAAATCCGCAATGAAAATATAACGTGTTTTGTATGTAATTGTAAAAAACATCCAGCATTGTTTCATTTATCATTTAACATTTTCGCTATTTTACCTACTGTATGTCAACAAGTCTTTGGAATAACCTGCTTTAAGGAGCTTTCTGATTGGCTAATTTGTCTTACGTCAATATATTTGACATTAGCAATTTTAGAAAAGTAACACTCAACATGGTAAACATGAATAAACAGGCATCAATAAATGAAGATTACTTTGAAGTGTCTTTTCATAATCTCATATTACATAATCTCTTTACATAATAAATACATAATTCAATCATATTGTTCCATCATATTGCTTTATTTAAATATTATCAAATATTTTTTTTATTACCTTATTTCATATAATATTTTCAAATAAATGTTGAAACGCTTTAATTAATTAAATATAAACTTTGAAAGTAAATTTATGTAGATCAATAAAAATGGACATAGTAGTAATCCAAATATATTCATAAACAAGAAAACTTTTCAATCTTCTAATCAATTTTGTACAGCCGGAGTTAGTTTCCACCTAGGCAAACCTTGCTAAAAAGATACACTTTCTCCATCAAAAGGCTTTTTCTATGAATGGAATGACCTGTTCGAAGCACGAACTCCTGTACACCAAACCCAATACCGTTACGATTTTTAATCGTGCGGGAAATCCACTCACTATGCAAAAGAAAAGATAAAGCCAAAACAGTTGGAGATGAAAAAGCCATTAAAGTTGCTCGTGATAGAACCATTGACCCTGCCATTTTTGTTCCAAAGATTCCTTGTCGGGAGATATTACATTAGAAGATGTAATGAATAATCTATCAATTTTTGAGAATAAACTTTTTTAGGAAGGCCAACAAACCACAATTTGTTATAGACCATGCAAATAAGCTGTCAATTAAAGCAATCTACGACACTTTACCGTAAACTGAATGTTATGTTCTAGATGGAGGCTCCCTTTTACATTGCTTACCATGCAAGAGAGGAGACAGTTACGGCACAATTGTACAGGCACACTCAGAGTTAGTCAGGAGAAATTATGGATTGGCAACTGTTGTATTTGATAGTTATGATGGGACTCCTTCTATAAAAGACAATACCCATCAAAGAAGAGAACCAGAATATCTACCCAGTTGTAAACTTTACGGCTAATACCGAGTTTGATGGCAAAAAGGATGAGTTCCTTTTGAGGCATGATAACAAGCAGAAGTTTATCAATATGCTCTCTGCTGAATTTCAGAAAAGAAATTGTCCTGTAATAAATGCAAGGAACGATGCTGACGTAGATATAGTGTTAGCAGCAGTAGACATTTCCCATAATTCAGACTTGTTAGTTCTTCTTCTCTATCATGTCAATACAGACCAACAAGAGGGTTACTTCAGGTTGGACCAGACAAAGGATACTAGGGTAATAAATGTTTCCCACATAAGATCCGCCTTTGGAAATAAATTATGCCTTGCATTGCCATTCACACATGCCTTTACGGGTTGTGATTCAACATCTCGCATTTTTGGCATCGGTATTAGAAGGCAGCTTTCTAGAAATTGGTGGAGGAGGATAAGATTCTTAGATTATGTGCTGAAGCATTTAGTCAGCCAAATCAGAACAGTGATGTAAATGTGGAATTTGGAACAAAAGCAGGTTTTCCTATATTATACACCACCCATACACCAAATATGAGTGTGTTTGATAACTTAAGTAGATATTATTATCCAAAAATGACTCCATACCCTAAATTGTCAAATGTAAAAAAGTAAATTGCACTTTTCCAGTTACATTCATTTAATGTAAGTTTATTTTTTTTAGTTCAATTTTTCCTGTATTACCAAGCCACTTGCCCATACAAAAGTGATGATGACATAAATGAGATATTTCTACTTGTATATGCCCCCAAACCCCAAAAAGTGCTGTTTTTTGCAGGAAGGGCAATCTTTGACGGGTCAATACAAAAATAATAATAATAATAATAATAATAATATATTCTATTACCAATATATACTCTCAAAAAATTACACCCTGAATGCGGAAACGAACTTCATTAAGGAGGCCTCTTTAGATTTACATACAGTGGCCTATTTATTAATTTTACTTAATGGCCCTTTCATACATTTATGATTTTTGCTACAACTGATTTTCAATATTTTAAAATCACAGTGGTCAATTGTAATTCACCGCTATGAAAACAATCTTGGTCTAACACAGCAGCATCATGTGAGTGGTGTAACGTCGTCGATGAAATATCAACAACTATGGCGACAACATTCAAGTATTCGTAAATTGCGCCTGATTAGTTACATCAAAGAGACATCTATCCTTATAATTTGTTAGTGTACTGCTGTAATACATCTTGACGGCATTGTGAACTTGTTTGAGCACAATTTTAGAACCTAAAATCATGCTCTATCGTAGTAAAAATCGTGAATGTGGGAAAGGGGCATAATAAAAACAAGTAAATACTGATATTTTTACTAATAATGAATTAGTGTTAAATAAGGTATAATTTTTACAAAAAAATTTAAATTAAATCTGTTTAATTTTATGGAATTGTAAATTGTAGCTAAGGCAAGTGAAATAAAAAAATAAAAATAATAAACTTTAATTATCCATACTATAAAACATTGATGTCTATGCATTTTACTTTTGATTTTTTCAGTGAGTACCCAAGTAACAGAGTTACAAAGGATAGCAACGATGTTCATATGGGCGTAATTGGCAGAGTGGACTTAAAGCAAAATGTGACTGTGTCTTCTCAGCCAATCTCAAGTTTTGATTGGAGTCCAGATAAAGAGGGCCTAGCAGTTTGTACTTCATTTGATCAGACACTTCGTGTTTTAATAGTTACAAAACTCAATCAAATATAAACTTTACTTCCTTTCCGATCTGTATCAATGAGACGTCGAATGTACTTTCTTTGTAAATATGTCTTTCTTAGATGTCCATGAATGCATTCTCACCGTTTTGGGTAGTGCTTTTACAACCAAAAATTTTCTGCACCTTGTGCCATGTAATTGGTGTGCATGGCAACAAAATTATTTTGTCACCTTTTGTCCAAAATTTATATGAATGTTTCTTAGATCAGGCACAAAAACGAAAATTTTTCTCAAATGGACATTCCCTTGGCTTTTATTAGGTAAATTACTTCACTCTATACAATACATTTTGAGTAAGGACAGGTAATGTATAGATAGAGCTTGCATTTTGTAGATTAGGTTTGTCTACTGGTTGTAAATGACCTCGATTGTAAATTTGAAAGAAACATGTTTCACAACTATTTGGAATATGTTGGTAGATTTTTATTTCTGAAATTGATCATTATGTTGCGAACAGTTACATTATTTAGTCTCAACACAATAACAATAATTTTCAACATACTGTACATACATTAATATTCCCATGTGGGCGATCTGTATATGCCTAATACTAATGCCATAAGTTTCACTAATAAATACTTGTGTGCACACCATATCCCACTAAAATTTAGTTTATTCAATGTTTAACGAGGCCCCAACATTTTTTCAGGACGTACCCATTCATCAAACTCAGACTCTGATACGATATCTAATTTCAGAGCTGCTTGTTTTAGTGTACTGCCCTCTTTGTGCGCTAACTTGGCTATTTGTCCTGCTTTGTCGTAACCAATGTGTTTGTTTAACGCTGTGACCAGCATTAATGATTCACTGAGATATTTATTAATTTGAGGCCGATTGGCTTGAATACCTTTGATGCAATTTTTATCAAAAGAAATGCAGGAATCCCCAAGGAGACGGATTGACTGCAGGACATTGGCCACAATCATTGGTTTGAAAACGTTCAATTCGAAATGCCCGTTACTAGCTCCTATGGAGACAGCAGTTTGGTTGCCCATTACTTGTGCTGCTACCATAGTGATCGCTTCACATTGTGTGGGGTTTACTTTTCCTGTAACAAGAATAAAATGAAAAAGTTAGTCTGATACACTATAGAACAATTTTTTTTTTTTTATTCAGGGATAAACATATAAAAAACAATTACAAAACGGCAGCCGAAGCTGAAATGGTGTGCATCACAAAACCTATTCACAAAAAATTAAATACAAAGCATTACAAAAAAGGTCAAATATCAAATACTGTATCATCAATTATAAAAAATACAAAAGAAGGTCACTTTATTATCATTAAATTTTAGTTACTAAAGTTTAAATTATATTTATACAATATAAAGTAAATGACAGCAGCACTTTTGAGACTAACAATATTTATATAGAATTTATTCTCAAGCTTTCATCCACACAGTGGACTTCATCAGGTGACGGGTATCTCAAAGGTACAGAAAAGTGGTCTTTAATTCTTAAAATATTTATACCTCTTCCTCAACCATGGTAGGTTTAAACCAAATAAAAAATCCTGGATCTGCCCCTGCACAATGTTTTACTTACTCTTCGTGCATATGTTAATTTGTTTTTATATAAAAATCAGTAATGCACATTAAATCATACGATTCATAAATACTACCTAGACCCTTTTCTGGATTTGGATTAATTTTTTTCCTTGCAGAAACTCATTTTAGGCAACAATCGCGTACATACAAATAAAAACTATTGATGAAAAGGATAAATATATATACAATGGGTAATTGTTATTTGTTAAAAAGTTCTTTATACTATTCTTTAATTATTGAAATGAAACTTTTAAATACTAATTCCTTACATATGAAGATCCCCAAGCCTATATCATATCATATCATATCATTTATTTCGCCTCAGTTAAAATTACAAAAATTACAAAAACAAAGGTAAATCAATGAGGCAGGATTGCCTAAATGTTATAAATAAAATAACAGTCGAGAGACTCTCCACAAAGAAATACCATACACAAAGATGTAACATGAAAGTTAAAATTTAAAAATCAGTATAAAAAGTTACATTGCATTATAAAAATTTAAATATATAAAAATTCCAATCCTTTAAGTATTTTTAAAACAGTAAAATTGAGATAAAAAATTGGTAAAAATTGCATTTTATTTTATTTAAAACATTAGGCTAGGTCAGTAAGGTATTTTTTTTAAGTTGTATTTAAAAATATTATAATTAGTTAATAATAATTGATCACCGAGATCCACAGGCAGGCCTCTGAAAAGTCTGACAAACGAATTAAAAACAGAATGATGAAAGCTGTCAGTCCGAGCGATGAAATTATTACGTAACTTAAGATGGTCAGCGTGTCTGGAATTTACAGAAATATATTTAAAAACATCCAAATCATACATGTTATATAAACATTTGGCTACAAAATTAATACAAAAATAGTCAATACGATTACTAATGGAAATGAGATTAAGACGCTTTAAACGTTCAGAGTACGGGATACTGCCTGTGGATCTCGGAAAGCAAATACGCGTAACTCGTCTTTGAACGGACTCAAGAGTGGCAATATCTTTTTTATAGAATGGAATCCAGGCAGGAATATCGTAATCTATAAAAGGCCTAACTACAGTACATTATGGCATACAGCATACATATGCTGTACATACATACAGCATATATATCACTTTATTTCAAAATTTCACATAAAATTAATAACATGGTGGCCAAAGGCCAAATTGCAAGATAATTACAATAATTATTATAATTTTTAAATATTTAAAATTCAAAGTGATAATACAAAAATACAATAATTTAACAAAAATTTGACAATTTGCGCAACTGAATAATAAAAACATATAATGGGCATCTTACCGGTATAAGTTTGATAAACAGGGAATTGGGCTATTTGAGAAACGTTTCGTTTTAGAATTAAGTTGGGTAATATTATCCTTATTACGTAGGTTCCTACCGTGATTTTCGAAACAGGCAGGGGGATGAGATCACAGGAATGATTCGTGTTAGGAAGACTTTTTGCAAAATTGGGACAGTGGGATGTTCGCCTTGAGTAAATCAAGGTTAAGAATAGTGAGAGCACATTAAACATTAAATCCAATGTTTTTTGAACATCTAAGGTAATACAATTTTTGATTTGCTTTATTAGTATTAATATAGTTAACATGACTGTTAGATGGTAATTCCTAAGACCTTAGCTTCCTCAACAAAATTTAAAATACAATCGCCAAGAAACAAGTTCAGATTGGGAACTTTTTTACTAAAACAAAATTGGAGTGCTTGACATTATTTTAGTAGGTTTAAGATGAAGTGAATTGTTTTTGCACCATATGTAAAACTGATTAAGATCATCTTGGAGAAGACTAACCTGATCAATATGCCTGTTCCCATATATGGAGAGGTCATCAACATATTTTAAAGCAAGAGATTTAGATTTAGCATTACCTAGATAGTTCATCTTTATACCTAACAGATTGCTCTCTGCCACAGAGGAAATCGCAAATCCAGGGTACGATCGACTCACGGACACCACAAGAGATAACTTTTTGAACAAGGATGTTATGTTTAATTAAATAAAAAGCTTTTGTAAAGTCTGAGTACGACCGTTCCCACGTTGTGACTCCGCTCCGCGGCAGTGGACAAGACAGACAAGGTAATGTGATGTTGAAGCACCTTTTACATTACCATATTGTCGGGCATCTAAAGATGGTTGAATGCCAAAAGTAACCCATAAACAAACAAAATCTTCAGCGACTTTGGCAAAAACGAAAGTGAGGGAAATTGGCCTCATTTTGTCTATTTGGGGAGGGGGGTACACTTTAGGAATGGGCACCGCTATTGCACGTTTCCATTGTATTGGTAATTTACACTCTTGGAAAGAACAATTTAATACATTCGCTAAAGGTTCACTGTGTTCAACTGCAAACTCCTTTAAGATATTTGTAAGTTTAAAGTAAACTTCCCAAGGCTCTACTCGAGGACATAAGTGAGGTGATGGTAAAAATATGAATGAGTAGAAGTTTCAAGTGGTGGTATTTCTTTACCAAAACTAGTAAATTGGGCATTGATTGCGTGGGCAATTGCAACATTGTCTTGGGGTGAGATACCAGGGACCTGTAAATTCATACTATTGCGATTACCAGAATTAGTGGCACTTTTGACGTATTGATGCCATTTACATGGGTTTTCTTGGTAAAGATGTTTAATTCTACTGTTATAGTAATGTTTTTTAGCATCAGTAATAGAATGCTTAACTTGGTTATGAAGCTTCCAGATGCAAAGCATTCTGTCTGTCAGATATAAGTTTCATATTATATGATTTGTAAGCCAGGGTTTGAACCTTAATACTCTTGGTAGGAAGGTATTTACTTAAACCAGAGTTAAGTTCATTCATTTTTTGCTGAGTGGTGGAACATTTGCTAAGGATGGATGGTGATCCGAGTTATTGTGTTAGTAATTTTTCTTGACTTGGGCTTCCTGGTAACATATTCCTCTGGTGTTGAACTTCACTAATTGCTTTAATCCATTGCCTTTAAGTATGCGAGCGATATTCATGCGATTAAAATCGCCAAAAATATGTTTGAACAGACCTTGCAGTGTCAGTGATACTTTCGATAATATTAATTATATGATTTTCTAGCGTCCATTGGTGAGGAGAATTGGTGACAATATAAACACCACATATGATAACAAGTTCAAGAGGAATATCAATATCGAGTTGAGTAGCTTAAATGTTATTATATACGTAGACAGCAACACCTCCTCCTCATCCATTACAAAGATTTGTAAAGAGAGAATAGTTCAGCATAGACATTTGGTTGGAATTATGATGAAGATTAAACCAACATTCAGTTACAACTCCAATGTCGATGTGTACAGAATTTATGAGAATTTCAAATTCATCACCTTTGTTAATAAGAGACCAAGCATTTGTAGACAGAAATGAAGGTAACGTTAATTTAGATTCGTGTTTACCGGATCATTACCGGAAGTGCGGTCTCTGCCATTACAAGATTGAAATTCATTAAACGACATTCCCATCTTCTAACAACTCATTCTATTAAAATTCTGTATTCTCTAATTCAACCTTGTTTTGACTATGCTTCTTCTTCCTGGTTTTCATCTTTAAACAAAATGCTGACTAAGAAACTTCAAATAACACAAAATAAAGCCATCCGTTTAATTTTAGGACTTGGTGCACACATGTTGGTCATTCTCAACTCTCTGGTCTCAATTTATTAAGCATTTCCGATAGATTCGAATTTTCTAAATTGTGTCACGTTTACAGAATCTTTCATCAACTTAGCTCACAATATTTACAAAATCATTTCACACAACCATTTTACTAGAGGTAGCTCACATCCCACATGTTAAACATCCCAACAATACAACATTTTATTATACAGCAATCAAACATTGGAATTTACTACCATCATACAAAACATAAAACAATCAACATCACTCAACGTATTAAAAACCAGAGCCTTGCAGGCGTCAACGTTCCTATGCATGATACATGACTTAAAAAGTATATATATATATATATATATATATGTATATATATATATATATATATATATATATATATAGAAATAAATATATATATAGAAATAAAACAATAGCAGATGAACTTGGTTACTTCATATCTACAAATTTGTTTCATATGACCACACAGGGCCACACTCATCAGGCGAATTGTAAAACATGAATGACACAATATCCCAGGGTTTATAACTTAAATGGCTAATCAGGGAATCCAACTAAATTACTATGTTACAAAGGCTATTGTTTATTGGTGTGATCTAGGGATTATAATTAAATGGCTAATCAGGGAGTCGGACTGATATCATGTTATAGAGGCCTATTGTTCACAGTTGCTAATTAAATATTTCTTTCTATGGGTGCGTTCGGACGAGAACCGGAAAACCTTTACTAGTTTCTTACCGGTAAAAGTATCCGCGGGTGGTCTACCCGTTCGTGCACAACTCCAACACAACACCGCTTTCGAAAAACCATTAACCTCAGATGTACAACCTAGGGTCTACAACCTAGGGTCAATATGTAAATGCCAGTTTCTATCCCATAATCCCCTTTTATACCTCCTCACTCGGCCCTCTAGCCTCTCTCTCTCTCAAAAAAAAAAAAACGTGCGATCCATTTCCCGATTCTCCCGAACGTAATTTATAATACAGTAATTAATAATACTTGACATATTTTCGACTGCCATTTCAAAATGGTGAATTTTTACCAACTAACGGCAATTGTCACAACGTTGCTAGTTATCCAGGTGCGATTGTTCTTACAAGAACAACCACAACAAGACGGCCTGGAAATGGCAGCCCTGATGATTAGATTGTTTATAAAAACAGAAAATTACTACCATTGTCAAACAAATAAGCAGTGGCCCCATGATGATGATCGGTATGCAAGCGGACACGAGTAATTAACGATCTGGATTCTAGGCTAGCCCTCCGTTGAAAATATTATTTTATCGAGCTTTTCAGTTTTGTTTTTGGAAAATAACTGTAAAAAGAATCGGGAGAATTTAAATGTAAACAAACTTTAGCTCTGGCGCTGTCTCTTATACACATCTAGATGTGTGGATTAAATGCTCCCTGCTGCTAACGCATGCGCAAATAGGCCAGTTTTAATCCTCCAGAACACTCCAATTTGCAGCGTTGGGTTATTGGCGAATATCAGCAGGCGGTCCGCGATTAACACCACTCGGACGAAAACTAGAAATTGCTGTTACCGCTTTTACTCTGTGTTCAACACCAAAAAAAAACTCGCCCGAACGCACCCTATGACGACAAGTTGACACTAACTCATTCTTGCTATTGAGTGAGCAGTTCTGGATGACATATAATTAAATACTTAATTAAGCTCTATCTGAGATATCGAGCACTCTACGTCATAGATGATCTGGAATATCCCATTTATATATATATATATACTGTCTCTTATACACATCTAGATGTGTATAAGAGACAGACACGTATATGTACATACATATGTAGATGTATACATGTATATACTGTATATACGCCATGGCTAGAGATACGGTACCATATCGGAACTTCCGATTGCTAAAGATACGGTAAATGATATTATGTCATGATTAGCCAATAGAAATGACCGACTCGATTTTGGCTTATTTGCAAAGTCGACGTCGCGATCATGAGAATCAAGTCATAAAACTTTTGGCCCATTTCATGTATTTCGATTGGGGCTTATCGCAATGTTTGGGTTAAAAATCTTTCTGTTATTCTTGCGTATTTTATGGTCTACCATAGAGAATGTTCTACTACTAGGCTAGGCTTAGGCCTACTGTAGTGCTACTACTAAGTGTAGAGTCTTTGCGGCCCTGAGTAGATGCGGCATCGGGTCATTTCGGCCCTGAGTTGGTAGTTTTGTAATGCACTTCGGCAGCGGTGCATGGAGCGCCGAAGGTGCGGCCGCGAATAATAATTTAATAGGACAAGGTGGCTAAGCAGTAGACCGTTTGTTAAACATAAAAACTTAAGCTATATTACTGCAACATTATCAGATATTAACAATTCTTTTTAGTAGTATTTTATTATTATTATCAAAGAGTTCATTGCAGTATCAAATGATGTTCTTACGATTGGTTTGGAGGCATGTTTCTTTTTATCGTTTCCATACGATATATATTTGGATCATGTTTATAAATGCTTAAATAAAATTTAGATTTATAAAATAAGTAGGCTTATAGTTAATTTAGCGGATTAGTTGTTTTTTGTTTCTCCATTTACATTACCAAGTGTTCTATTTATAACAATACATTACATACAATATAAAATAAATTAAAATATTCTGAATGATGTGATAATGAAAATAAAGCAAATATATTATTGTATTCATAAGGCCGACAAAATCACTCATTGCATAGAAATTAACTAAAGAAAACGGTAATTTGAGGAAAGAAACGTTTTCAACAATTATGTTGAGGTGAAGCAGACACATGGTTTGTAACTTTGTATAATTCTTGTTTGTTGTATTTCCATTGTCGATACATATTTTGATTAGGCATGTTTATAGAATACACAAATAAAAAGATATAGTAAAGTGTATAGTTTAATTAAAAAATATATATCCTACAATGTTAATGGCTGTTACAAGCTTTTTTTTATATTAATTAAATTAATTAAATTTCACTCACAAGGCCTATTGTTGCATGGAAACGCTATAAAAATCGGAAAGAAACGCCCACAAACAGGTTCCCAAGGAACTCTTTAGGGCGAAGCAGACATCCTTTGTACGCCGTCTTCAGGGACTTGTGGGGCACTACTGCAAAGAGTGAAGTAGGTCAGAGGATAAAATTAGACTGGCTATTTTTAGGTGCAAACACATGCCATATGGCAGTGAATGTGTACGCGTGT